CGCATCCATTGAATCTTTTAATGTATCGTACTGTAACATTTTTCTTATCCGACCGTAAAAGTAATTGTGGGTATGGTAGCTTACACGTGGTTTGTACATAAATGTAAATTAACATAATACATTTTATAAGTCTGTTATTTATAGCCTCCTTCGCAGTCTTGTTGGGCGTCGGCGTAATTTTTTCTCTGAGCGACTCGAGTAATATGCCGCCGAGAAGGACGATTTGCTGCCAAGGGAATTTTTGCCACGGAGAGAAGGTTTCGAGCGCGAAACCTTCTCTCTTACGCCGACGCCCAATAAGACTGCGAAGGAGGCTAGTTATTTATAAGTACGGAAAGAAATAATTGCAGCGCAAAATGCTTTTGAGATAAATCAAGATATAATGTACATGGTATATTCTAATTGTATTTAGATTCGTTACTAGCTTATGCACGATTCTATAAAATGTTTGGTTTGGTTTAGTGGCCTGATTATTCTACCTTAGTTCATGTATATTTGGCATCCTATTAGTATTGTTACATTTCCTGGACGCTATAGTTTAAATCGCAGCTTAATTTTTTACTCCTAAGTGGTTTTACGACTTTCTTTGTTCTGATCCTATGCTGTGAAAAAACATTAAAACATGACAGTGTCTTATCTTTTTATATTTTGACAGTATAAAAGTATTTAAAACAAAAACAAAGGGGCTGACTATATATGGAAGACACACCTTTAGCAATGTTTGACAAAATCAAATATAAAGTGTAAGTCAATATTCTCCTTGGTAAATTCCTAATTATGGGTTCACCACACCACGAAGTGGTGGTGAACCCATATTGCTTTTTCTGATGTTTCTTCTCCTCCTTCTTCTCCTTCTCCTGCCATTTTTTAAATGGATTCAGCTTCTTCATTTTAGGGCCTAAGGTCCTGAAATTTGGTATGGAGGTACAGTGGGCAAATACCCCTAGGCGTTTTTTAAATTTTTGTGATACAGGCTTTTAGAATGGTTTTATTTGAGTTTTTTGGCTGTGTTATATCAAATGTATTACTGTGTTAGTGTGCCGTGTTTACCATGAGTCATCACAATGGAATGCAGGGCATCAACCAATAGGCATGCAGCTTTCCTCTATACTTCTTGCTGATTGGCTGTTGGGATTTAACTTGATTAACACCTGCACAGAGCATTTCCACCTGCACAGAGCATTTCTTGCTGATTGGCTGTTGGGATTTAACTTGATTAACACCTGCACAGAGCATTTCCATACTGACAGTATGTCTTTATTCAAGTGTTTTGGTAGGTATTTCAAGCTTTTCTGCTCCAGCATTGGAATGCGGGGCATGAACGTTTTTTTATTTATTTTGAAAATCAACAGTTTGCATTATGCAATTAAAAATCCTAACCAATAAAGTAGGGAATAGCTATCCAACTGTTGTTTTAGTTGTATGTTACTTCATATTATAGTTATATCAATGTAAATCATTGTTTTCCCTTGTGTTTCTCATTCTTTCCCTGCCATGTCGTAAAATGTGGTGAACCCATCGCTGTATTTGCTCCAAAGCAAATATTGGCCTTTCTAGTTGACATTAGCCTTACAGCCTCGGCTAAGTGTAAACAGTGCCATACGAGTAGGACAGACAAATGAGACACGTTCATGTAAAAAAAAAAATCACGCATATTTCTGATATCGATGCGTTTTATAGTTTTCTGCTGTTTTTTATTAGAAAGTTATGTTTGCCTGAAATTTGCGCCCAAGGATATGATACATTCCATTTTCTTTTTGAGTACACTGCAATCTTGTTTTTATTTTCATATCTGGGGACTATTTTTCGTTTTTTATTTTATTTTTGTTTATCTGCACAGGAGACGGAGGGCAAGGAGAAAATCTGGAGACCCAGTGAATGGTGTCTGGACAAGGACTGAAATCCAGTCCCAACTGGTTTAAATCCTACAGATTAACGTAGAATAGTACACTAGTGTATGTTATTTTCAGGAAAATCTGGTGATGTCGTAGAATAGGTCAATACGGAGCACCACTCAGCCGTGAACACTTAGGCTCAGCGGGGTGGCACAGACAGCATGCGGTGGTGTGTGTCAATGCACGGTTTCCAAGACTTCTCCAGCGGAGACATCTCGAAACCCGCTAGCCGTCTTGGGTATAAAGAGAGCTTAATGAAAACGACTTAAGTCGTATCCAAACCAGACTTAAATTGGCCAGTGGGGTGCCGAGTTCGCTAGCTTCGCGTATGTAAACGGGCGATGTCGACTAGTATCAGTAGTCAGGCAAGACCGAGCCACCGAGTGGACTTGGGGGGAGGGTGGCACAGCGGGAGTGTCAGGTCGCTTTGCGGCCCCGTGTGTAAACAGAAGTCGACTTCGCCTATTGTGTGTAAAGCGGGCCTATCGGTACGGCTTGGGCTTCTTTACGCGTACGGCCCGGACACCCTAAATGCATAAATAGAATAATTCGAACGCGTTTCGCTTTTCAAAACTTTGAACACCTAATTCGGATGTTGGAATTAACGCCGTCACAGTTTTTGTTTAGACAGATCTCATTTTGGCACATTAAAATGTCTATTTCTCGGGTGCGTTATGGCAGAAGTAAAATACTACACGGTGCATTCCGAATCACCCTCGGTCCCAGCCCTCCCGCGGATTGGATCTCCCTCCGACCTTCGGGTGATCCGACCCGCGGTCAGGCTGGTGCCTAGGGCGATACAGAATACACCGTGTAGTATTTCATATCTATTATTAAAAAAAGTTAAATAAATACCAAAAATGAGTCTGCATACGCAGCATATTGACTATATTCTAAATGTCAGCTATCCTTAGACGTTGGCACACCAATATAAATAGCTTGGTCTCCACGTAAAATCTTTGTAACTATACCTATGTTGACAAAGGGGAATCCCCTTACCCGTCCGAAACACGCAAGAGGAAGTAAAATCACAATTGAAGAGTCACACTTCCCCTCGGTCTATAGAACAGCTTATTTATTTCAAGAAAAGGAGAAACGTTTTAGTCTTCCTGCAGAAGATAGAAGGACTTGTTCCCGTATCGCAGGGTGTTTCAGTGTCCACTATGGCAGTTCTAATGAAGGCACTGGCGGTTCTGTTGGTGTTGTGTGCGCGTAGGTGTTTTGCTGGTACGTAGCCAAATTTTATACATTTCACCCATTTGTATTTTCTGCTATCTGTGGGGTAAGTTTGTCGTAGACTGCTATCGTCTGGTGGATAATACTTTATAAAGACTACTTTAATGTAAAACCAAGATACATAAAACCCGTGTGAAAGTGAGATTGCACACAGAAAGCGATATTTCCGTTTAGGGTAAAATTTGAGAGAGACTTAGTTCGTCCGCCCTGGTGTATTCTGGTTCGTCCTGTGTAGGTACATGTGGGTGTATGGGGGCGTCTGTATTATACATGACTTTGCAATTGTTGTGTGGTTTCCATAATTAACATAATTAACTTTGGTGGATTTCTTAAACAGTTAAGTTAATTGGCGAAGGCAGAGCTTGAATGTTCAGTGATACTTCGCTACTCAAACTCCATAAAGCCGAAATCCGACCTTGTGTTGGCTTTCATGCACCGCACAAGGAAAACGAATGAAATACAAGCAGCAATTAGATGAAAATTAACCGAAACTGTTCTAAATTTCTGGCTAACTTCACATGACTCCTCTAAAATTTCACCTCTGAGGAAGTTTGACCAACAGGAACCACGGTCACATTCTAAAAATTGTTTTATTGGATAATTATCTAAAATTTCCTTCTAAATAATGCATTTACTTATGATTAAACCTTAAACGATATGACAAATGTAAAGTATCAGAACATCGCGTTCGCGTCTATATAGGATTTATCAAATGAGTCAAAGGTTGGTTGTTTTTGTTGCTAGGTTTAGTTCCTCATGCGTGCGTTTCGTAGAACAGCTTATGCATATCCAGGAGCCTTTATTGAAAGGCCAGTGTTTACATTGCGTAGGCGGTATTGAGTAGCAGTGTACAAACAATTGCTTTTGTCGTTGTTTTCGGTACAGAGGTTAGTAATACGTTTACTGGGCCATGACGTTGTCTATGTGCATAGATATGCATGTATGTATGCATCATATTGTATGTGTGTGTCTGTGTGCTTGTTTCTCTGTGTGTTTGAACAGCATAACTTGAGGAGTTGTGGATGCCGGTTTTGTGTACTTATGTATGTAACATTATGTATGTATGCATTTATTAATATGTATGTATCATACTGTATGTGTGTGTGTGTGTGTGTGTGTGTGGTGTGTGTTTCTCTGTGTGTTTAAACAGCATAACTTGAGGACTTGTGGATGACGTTGTGTGTGTACTTATGTATGTAACGTAATGTATATATGTATGTATGTATGCATGTATGTAAGCATGTATCATACTGCATGTGTGTGTGTTTGTGTGTGTCTGTGTGTTTGTTTCTCTGTGTGTTTGAACAGCGTAACTTGAGAAGCATTTCGGTAGGTTGTGACGAAAAAAAATTCGAAGGTACAGCGGTGAAACTTCAGGGTTCAGTTTTTTTTTCTAATTCCAACATGTAATCACCAGACGTGGTGACGACACACTCAAGTAGTTCACAGGGTTCAGTTGTTCTGGTCATGCTATTGTTAATGTTTTCGAATGGCAAATAACTCTAAGACTTGTGTTCTGAAAGCCTCCCGGCAGCTTGTTTCAGTCGTGATACTTTTTGAATCCGTAAAAACCCTTGTCCTGCTAAACTTTTTTACACAATATTTTCAAGTAATTTGAAGTCGTAATCACGTCACAGACCCTTGACTTTTTTTTGCCCCGGTGGCGTAGTTACTTCCGCATTCGTTGCATTTTGCTGCAGTGTGAAGCGTTGTATGAGAAACACCCCCAAATGGTACATACACAGTGCACTATATACTAGTAGATGGTACTATGTGTACAACCCATATATATATGGGTCCCGCAGGACAAGGGTTTTTAAGATTTCGTATGAAAAGAAAACCCCTTATGTAACTGTAACAAACTTTTAGAACAGGGAAAAAACATTAATTAAAAAATGCAATCAGACTGAGAGGAAGTTTCTCTACCCCCCATCTACAAAGCACGTCGGCAGAATGTACTGCACCTGCGCGAAACTCGTAATGTATTGTACATAGAATTTTGGCAGAATGTCTCATATAAGGTCGTATTCGCTCATATAAGGTTAGCATTTCGACATTAGTTTCCAAATGTTGTGTCCGAAAGAATATCCTCTGCAACAGGCAAAATTTTGATGCAACGTTCACAAAAAAAAACAACGAAAAACGCGAAAATACGGAGTTCTGCGCATGCGCAGTACGTTCTGCCGACGTGCTCATCTACAAAACACTCGTCCAGTCACGTGACCTGTGCTGACCTTTCAACCTCGGGTCACGTGACTGCCCTCGTCATTAGCTGAAGAAAGATGGTGGATGCCGTCTGTTTAGTCGTGCGTTTTAAATCCCTACTTGTACTAAGGAAATTTCTCAACATACTTTACCGGTAAACCTATACATGGCAATTAAACCATATGTAAAGTGCTACCATCATTTCTCGAGATGAAAACTATCGACTAGGGCTACTTCAATATAAACTGGAACATCAGACAATACTCTTCATTGGGGATTTTATTTATTATTAGGCTACTCCTTTTATAGAAAAGCAATCATTACAGATAATTAAAAAAAAAGATCTGTCGAACAAAACTCATTTCATCCTTATTAATTTTCCAGATAAAAGGTCATTTAAAGTCGGAGTATCTGAGGTAAGTAGAATAACATATATATCACTATACATAAATTCAATTATGGATGGTGAATAACTATAAAATAAATGTACCTTTGCGTGAAACCTACGTGTAGGATATTTTTGAGATGAAGGAGACAAGTAAGTACGTTCTGTTATCTTCGTGCTTCCTTTAAAGAGATCCCTTCATTTGAAACACTTCCTCTTTTTTCATGACGTCATGGCGTATGTGCACCTGCATATGATCATAGGCAATGTGATAAATATTTTTTTAAGAATTCATCCCGACTATAAAAAGTGCCTCAACCTGACGAATCTAACAAAAAAAAATTGACAAGTAGCAGTCTTTTCCCGGTAGATTATTTTTAACAATAGTTGGATAATATACAATTTAACATCAATGAATTAATTGCATTAGATCTAATTGGAATATTATAATTACACTAGGCTGTTGTAAAGCGTTAGATAGGATTCATTACGTCAGTGGTGCATTCATTGTCAAGTATGAAATGAAACAAAAGCATTGGAGATTTTTACCTCCATTCCATTGGAGATTTTGTGAATTGCTAATTTTATTCATTATTGTGAACGCTGTGTTCCCCAACGTCCGATTGGCTCATAGCCAATGAACCTCAGGTCAACTTACTGCTGGCTCCCAGCCAACGTCAAGCACCTAACGTTCCACGTCTGACCTTCTGTGGTTATGGAATTCCCCACAAATACGTTTTTTAACCAGGTACACAAACACACAAGCATCACACACAACAGCAAACACACCAAAAACAATTATCTGTATACTTAAGTAATTATACTACCTTTATATACATATACAAATACATAAACATATACACTAACTTTCTTTATTTTTTCAGAGTGTTGACCCCGGTCACGTGATCACAAGTGTTCGTACCTTGTACCTGCAGTGGTGGAAAGGTGACGGACAGTTTCGTATTACATCAGGGAACAAGGTAATGTTCTTACCTTTTAATTTAATCATATGGCTAACAAAATGTGAAAATAGCAGATTGGAACAGAAGTGAATATTACACTTAAATCAGTTCTTTAAAATTTCTGAAATGTTTGATTGTTGAGAGGGCGTTAAATATTTTTTTATGTAGCTAAATAGAAGTATTTTTTTTTATTTCTAGGACGATCGGTTCACAATCGGGAATGAGACTGGTGACGTCATCGTGAAGAGGTACCTGAACTATGACATTGAGCCTCACTATGAGCTGAGGGTGACCAACGATAAAGCTGAGAGAAAGGTACGTACCATTTGAGGTCCTAGCTTTTTTTGTAAATATTATATGTTTAGAATATCATGTATTATGAACTAGTAACCTTTATTATCAGTCCTTCCCATGAGAATAAAAAACTTAAATACGAGTGACGTTGATGAATCTGCTAATTTTTGTATAGATTTTAATGTCGATTGCAAAATTTGACAACTCATGCTGTTATATTATATACACATATGTAATTGTTACATTGAATCAGTCACACTATTTACTTCTGAAGTTCTAAAAAAACTTCTGACTCAGTAGATTTAGGAACATGATAATAAGGCCAACCGATGATGACGAATGAGGCCGACGTATGTATATGTCCTAACACTTAATAGTCATTGTAAAGTTATTATGGTGTTGGACGCTGTTATTACTTGAAATATATTTTTTATTGCGAAAAGGATTGTAGGTTCCTACTGTTTGCTTTTTTTGTTGTTTTCTTCTATACTCCACAACCTTTCGTGTTGGGCTGTGGGCAGTAATGTCTTCTTAAACCTTGAATAATTATTTTACCAAGAGAAGTTTAGTCGACTCATGTTTATATTTCTTATCGTGCAGAGGGAGATCAAAATCAGGATCTCCGTGGAGGATGAGCTGGACTACCCTCCCACCTTCAACCCGAACTGTTACATCCCACCTCGTGTTAGGGACACCACAGAGGTACGTGTAGGTTAGGGACACTACAGAGGTACGTGTAGGTTAGGGACACTACAGAGGTACGTGTAGGTTTGGGACACTACAGAGGTACGTGTAGGTTAGGGACACTACAGAGGTACGTGTAGGTTAGGGACACTACAGAGGTACGTGTAGGTTAGGGACACTACAGAGGTACGTGTACGTTAGGGACACTACAGAGGTACGTGTAGGTTAGGGACACTACAGAGGTACGTGTAGGTTAGGGACACTACAGGGGTACGTGTAGGTTAGGGACACTACAGAAGTACGTGTAGGTTAGGGACACTTCAGAGGTACGTGTAGGTTAGGGACACTTCAGAGGTACGTGTAGGTTAGGGACACTACAGAGGTACGTGTAGGTTAGGGACATTACAGAGGTACGTGTAGGTTAGGGACACTACAGAGGTACGTGTAGGTTAGGGACATTACAGAGGTACGTGTAGGCTACAGTAACATGACAGTTTAAAACTATCAAACTCACATACCTAAAATTCACCTTGCCAAAGTCATACCTGCAATGCCAGGTTTATGCCTAATCATTCAACTCATCTTTTGTATACTTGATAAGGAGATGCTAGAATTGGGTGGATAATATGATCAACTGATGTAATTAATGTGATGATTAGGTTTACAGATCAGATTTACATACACTGTCGTGTTAATTAATTGTCCACTGCATTTTTGTCACAGATTTGGCCGCTGATGGGAACACTGCACTCGTTCCTCGGATACCAGAATCTGTTTAGCAACCGCAAAAATGGATCGAAATCGGTGATGGTCCTGGACAACGATCGCTGTAAGTTATGGGGCCAGATCATTGCAACTTCACAAATGGGATTCGAAGCATTGAAACTAACGACAATGAAATATCTGATATAAAAAACTGCAATGAAATATTTGACAGAACCGTATTGATAAGTCATTTCGCATTACGCAGAAGCAGTCGTGTTGTACTGTTGTCTAGTACAAAGATATGAATTATAATCATGGGTTTAGAAAAATGATATTAACATTGAAACTCCTTTGTTCGTATACAATTCCCACTTACCTAGACGTATTTGTCAACAAACGAAAGGTTTAAAGCCCTCTGTATGGTAACAGGACCTCTGAACATTACAACATAGCATGTTACACTTCTTAAAACCCCAGTTAAGCACTGAAATTTTAACGGAAGGTCACTTTAGAGTCAGAAATGAAATATCGCTTATGTACACTTTAATTAGATAGAGAGTATACAGTGATTTAGTAATTGACTAATAAATTTTAGTACGTTGTATTTAATGTATTTCACTTTCTTTCAAAGGTGATGCTAAGGTGTTTTCGATCTGTAAGAGTGACTTCTGGGACGACACTATACCGGAAGGAACCACGCCTTTCTTCAACTTTGAGTGTACAAACGACCAGGAGCCGAGACGGAGCCTACCCACCATAACGCCATACTGGGTTTGCAAATATTAGTATTTCCCGTTTAGGCCACAGCAAGTAATTTTTATTGATGACTTCAGCGCGCGCATTAATTTTCGCCTGGTTTTGGAAAAAAAAGAAATTTTGTTGCCTTCTGACAGTGGTCAACATGCCGAAAGATAAAGACATGGAAAGATAAAGAATGGACAAAGATACCTGTTGCCATGCTGGAACATGAATGGCAGATAACTATGAAGAGAGGAGACAAGAAAAGGCCCTGATCTAATGATTTTTTTCACTTTGATGCAGTGATATGTGATGTTGGCTGTGTATATGTGATGTTCCACTGTATCAAAACCTTTTTCACAATGATTGAGCCAACATTTGAAAATGTGTAGACATTGTTTTTTCGGCCCGCCTTGTTTTTTTCCCGCCCGCTCGCATTAGATTTGGAGTCTGCGGAGGATGTCATCCGTAACAATTTACGTGTTGTGGCCCTATCAAATGATTGTTTTGATACATTTAGTCTTGGAAGAATATTAAAGTTTGTAGTTTTTCTCCTTTTCCAAGCAACAATGATGCGCCTAACTATACAACACAACATGTACCGTATTAGTTCGACGCTATGCATGTGCCTGGATTTTACATTTACATATTCTTTCTTGTCTAACTATTTTGTTGAGTATTCGTTTCTATTTAATATATAACATACGATATTTTTTATGTTTGGATAAATTTATTACAGCTAATTTGACAAAGAAAGTAGTATTAACCAGCGGGAAACTCATCATATAATGATATAGAACACACCAGGAACTGTATGATATTCGCATT